GGGGGGGTCATAATAATCTGGCCACTCAGTGTATAAAAAAAGAAAATCTTCAATGAAACATATTAAAATAAAGTGAACAGAAGATTTCCTCCTGAGAGTTCTGAGAGTTCCGTCAGTTTTGTACACAGATACCCCCGGACACACCTCGGCGTGTTGTACAGGCGTGTGCACATGACAATGCTGCGTGTCCATGGCGCAATATGAGAGTCGGCTGATCTGCACATCGATGGAACTTTCACAATACAAGAATCGGACCGATTGCACTATTATTAGATTATGATTTCTCTTCCTGTAGTATATGAACTAAAAATAAACCATTGTAATGTAAACAGAAAGCGTCAGTCATTCTTCTCCACATACGTCATGTGGAGGGCGCAGAGTTCATCCTTTGTAACATTTTTGGGAAGGATTTGCATCGTGTTTGTCAGTGTCACCAAAGTCCAAATCCAGTTGGAAATGTTCAAATTAATTAATGCTCTGTGACCCCCATTGGGGAGATTTACTATCACTTCCTGTCCCAGTGACAGGGGTCAGACGGATGGGATATATCCGGAATATAACGGACACCAACATGTGATAAAGAAATGTACAGAATCAGCAATGAACTTTATCGGCACAGTGGCTGCACAGTGTGTACATAGCACCCCATATAGACCTCCGGCAATCACTGTCCTCTTTCATGTCATTAATAGAAGAAGATTGCTGTGTATCATCAATTCCCACACACACATTTCAAGTCTGGCACTGATGGGGGCACACATTACAAAGGAGCTAGTGGAGGGGGGACAGTACATGGCGCCTCTCCCAAAACTAGGGGGGACAGTACATGGCGCCTCTCCCAAAACTAGGGATGAACCGATACCAGTACTTGTGAAAATGTCCCGATACCAAAAACTGACACCGGCGCTTTACATTTTCAAACTGAAGCAGCTGCCTTAGGTCCCGCACTAACTGTACAGCGCTTCCACCGGCCCGCACATCTTCCCCTCCTGAGACCCTCCACACCCCTCCTGAGACCCTCC